CAATACCTAGATTTCTAAAAGAGTACATGTGTGTGTGAAGGTCAGGTAGTAAAGTTAAAATGGGTAAAGAACCGAATAGATGACTGGAGCTACGCTTTCATTAAGGGAATTTTCAAGCATAAAGCATCATTGCTCCTTTGCTGATGGGTTTTCTGTACAATCAATATATTTTCACAAGTAATGGGGCCTATCATTTTTATTCTACACAAAACAGAAGCCCACTGCCACTGTATTTTGTCAAGTTGCTGTGTTGAAAAACCGTCCAATGTAACGAACAGGTGGTGTATTTGCAAGTTAATGAATTGTAAGGCATCCAAGATGTAAGACCAGAGAGTGGTCTGATAAATCGATAAATCGCTTTTCAAAAGAGCTCTGTAGACTTGGAAATATCACCAATTCAAAAGTGTCAGCCAACTTCAATAGAATCACCCTCCTTTGTACCTGAATAATAACAGAGGAAACCAAATCAGAAACTTATTTAACATTGCCTCTTGCTTCATTCCATCGCTATTTCAATGATGACCCAATAGCATGCCGAAATAAAAAGGCTTAAAGAAAGTGAATATTTCGAGCAGATACAGTGAGAAAATATGCAAACACTATTTCTTTCATCACTAACCAGGAAAATAAAAACGAATTCAAGTACACAAATTCCTTCACCACTAGGACTCTAGGAGACAGTTTACTTCATCAGTTCATATAAACAAAAGAAAGTTTCACATTTCCACATATCTTTCCTAAAAGGCAGTTGTAATTGACTTCTCTATCACTTCGGATTCTGTACCACCAATATTGAAGAGACTTAGGATCTTCACAAATCTTTTCTAATGGTAAATTTACTCTAACAAAGGCGGCAAGATTGTTTGGCTCTTTTCTAACTTTGGCAACAAAGGCTACAAAATGAAAAGAATGAGGAAGGAAATAGATCCAACTCTTAATATCCATGATGCAAAGAATGACAACTTTGATTCCTTTATCAGAAAACTTAAACATCTATGCACTATCCTCAGCAAGCTTGTCATCTGTGCATGCACCTACTTAAGTATCATGTCAGGTGTGTTATTAAAAATCTAATGGTAGGACAAAATTCAACAACTGGATAAGCTATAATCATAAATAATTCACCACTTGACCAAACAATTATATGTCATACATAGATCATCCATGCAGAAACATGATCAGATCCAGTTTCCATCCTCAAGTAAAATATAAAAGACAGCTTTACCAAGCATGAACCTATATCAGTTCTAGAAAAAGATTTCAAGAACAATGATAAGCAAAACTGTAACTTACAGTGCATGCCCTAGGTCACTTCCATCTTTGTTGCATGTGAACAATCTTTGATAACACCAGAGCCTCCATTTGCAGACAACTCCACAGATTTAGAATTACCATCATACTCTTTGTCACATGTAAACTCAAGTTGTTTCTCCACAGACTTGAAAACGGCATTCCTCCTGGCTCTTAACCGGTATGGAGGAGATGCATTAAAAGCCTTACCATTAGGCCCAATAGTGTTGATACCTTGACTGGTTGGACTCTCACTCAAACTTTCTTCTTGAGACCCAGACATTTCCGCACTGTTTTTGTGTCTTTCCTGTTCATCAGAAACATTAAGCACTTCCCTGACTGATTCACAATCCACCAACCCAATTTTATTAGGAGGCAAATGTCCTTGGGAAGTATTCTTTCTCTTTCGCAAGATGGAAGGAGTATTGGGGAAGGTCTTGGCAGCCATTTTCAAAATTGATTCAGGACTTCGATTGCATAAACCA